AGAGGGAGTTTATATCCAAGACAGAGGTTGCCAAGAAAGAATTCACATTAATTTGGAAAAAGTCACACCATTTGCATAACTTCCAGGAAGCTCAGCAGCACTAAAGTCAGTGCCTACAACACAGGGTACTGATCATGGTCAACCATGAGGTGTTTTTGTTTGCTTGCTGAGAAGCTCATTTTGACTCTTTTTTATGACCAATATAAGTCAAGAAGTATCCTTAGAAAAGGCCAAGATTCCTTCACTGTGCTATGCTCAAGCAAGCATGTTTTTAGCAAGTGCTGCAATTTGTGTGTGTGAAGGGGAGTGCTGGGGAGATATAGACTCCAGGGAGAAGAGGAACTAAATCGCAAATAAAAGATGTCTTCTCCAACATTTCAGTAAGAAATAATAACTCTACATCACCTGCCTCCTCAAATTTATAGCATTCCAAACAAGTGTTACATCTTAAATCAGCTGAACATACAATAAAATGAGCTGTGCAGGAAAGCTCATAAAGGAATGGACAATAAACGGTGTGGAATTAGAGAGTAACAAGGATAAAGCAAAAGCTGAGGAAATAAGTAACATTGGGAAAGTTAACAGCAATTTGTTCTTCTAGTGCTCATTTAGCGCACAGGACGAAAAAAAATCTAAGCTCAGTCATTGTAAAAAAAAATGAAAAGTGCTTCATTAAATTAAGACATGCCAGCAAACGAGTATTTTTTTTATTCCATGGTAACCCAAAAATTTGGTTTGATCCTATGTAATCAGATTATCAGCAGCATTAAGGCAACTGTGAGTTATGATTGAATTGAAAATATTTCCAAAAAAAAATGCTTAAAAACAATACATCCACTGATTATAATTTGCATTTCAAATGCAAGAGTAGAAGAGGTATCTTTATTTTACAGGAGCAGACAGAAAATAATTGTCATGTATTTCTTAGGATGAATTAAAAAACCCATGCGATGTTATTGCAAAAATAAAAGCAATGTCAGAAATGTAACATTTGAAAACTTATGCTAAATAGAATTCTATTAAAGCAGTTTTCCCAAAGTTTTTAGAATTGCTAAAAAAACTCAGAAAAATCTTTCAGCATCTGGAGTCTAGTTTTCAGCTCTGGAAAAAAGAGAAGTAAAAACTCCCTGTCCATTTCCAACTACAGCAGAGATGTCAGAGACACAAATTTACAAACTTTCACAGTACAACAGGCATTTCTGCACTGAGACAGAAAGAAAATGAACTGGGATCCTGCAGATGCTTTGGATGAAGTCTCTGGAAGAGATCTAGTGAGGGACCATCTGAGCTGCATCTGGATCTAACTGTTCCAGGAATTTTTACTTTTAAGAATTTGAAAAATCATCAGTTTCAGAAAGAAAAAGGACATTGTATGATGCTGTGTACAAAATCTTCCCTATCAAGTTATTGTAAATAGACTACATTGTTTCATTAAGCCTTGAGCCAGAGCAAGTTTCTGAGAACACAAGACAAATCCTGTCATGAGGCCTCTGCCTGAAAACTTTACTGCAGGGAGTATTTGTCTTAAGATGTGACAAGTAACAAAAAAAGCTCCACAGAAAAAAAAAAAAAAAAAAGATTATTTTTCCCTAACATAATGTTCCTGAGTCTGCAATGATTTTTGAAATTTATTTCTTTCAAATTATAAAATATTAAATTAAAAAAATATGTAAAAAGCCAAATGTCACACACCCCACGGTCTTCCTAGGAATTCTGAATCAGCTGGTAGCCTTCACTTCTCATACCTCCTTACTAAAAAAGCACTAGGGAATTGCTGACAGGGTTCAGCATTGTGCAGAATATTAAATATCTTTTTTGCAATACCCTGGTGACTCTTGAGTCTGTCTCTTACAGCACCATATGTAGAGCTGTGTTGGAAAGAGGAAGCTATTAAATATATTAAAAAGTAGAAATATTACCAATAGACACTTCATCAAATAACTGGATCTCATTCATCCCCAAACAAAGCAAGAAATGTTAAGGTTACATCAACATAAGAAAATAACTCTGGATTTAATAACAGCACAAGCCTGTTGAACATATTTGAAAGTAAAAACATTGCTTAATAAAACAGATTAGTGTTTCTGAAACAATGAATATAGCTTTCAACCATCAGAATGCTTTGGTAACAAAGACATTGGACGTGGTTTTGAAAGGTGCTGGGTGTCTCAGTTCCCACACCATAGTCACAGTTAGAAGGTCTTCGGGTCCAAATATATTACCCTTAGTTTACTGCCAACACAGGACTAGGAATATTTTCTATTAAAAAGGATTTAATAAAGAGTGGGGAAAAAAAGAGCATTTGTTTGAGATTGCATTCGTAAATCTATTCTTGAAAGTTTGCCCTCATCCCACACACACGTACAAATCTTGCATCCACATCTCCAATGAACGCTTAAAGGAGACAGCCATGACACACCCGCGTGGCAAGGGGGCACACAGCACACAACCACAAAAACTCAAAACCATCTCAACTTAGGAACTCAGCATTACTTTTTTTCATAAGTGAGTTTCAGAAAGGACATTTCTGAGGTTTCTAAGCACCTAAAGACACCAAGAGAAAACTGGACTTTCAGTGGCTCCTTCCTCGTAAGGATTTAAAACAGCATTAAGCGAGAACGCGCTGCCAAAAATCCCACTTGCCGCCCAGCCGCACTTTTACACTTACATAAGACTTTTACAAGTACGGCTGTTCGGCCCTAGAAGCCTAACACCCATCAACTTTTAATAAGATTTGCAATCTTAAATGCTCAAGTAACTTCTGAAGAAAGGACTTAGGCTGTTTGTAAAACTTTCCCCATAGGCCCCCATCTTGTGCAGCAGAGCTCGCAGGAAGCGCGCGGTGTTCCCGGGGAGCCGCGGTGATTTCAGCGGTGCTGTGCGAGGAACTGCTTCATGGCTACATAGCAGGAGTTCCTCTCTCACACTTCAGAGAAAGAAATGAGAAAATAAAGAACACCTATGGAGCCCTGCTAAGCATAACTTCCTATAAAAACACTGCAGATCTGAATGTTTGTTTAACTATCACAAGGACTGTATTACTTACCCCACTTAAAAATTTCTGGAATAATTTTGCAAGACTCCAGTACTACTTTTCCTAAAACTGGTGCAGGAACCTATGTTTCTTCTTCTAGGGAAAAGAAGTTTTGTTACTCACAGTAATAATGGAAAAATTTACATATTTTACTCCAATTTCTGAACACATATTTCTATCTAGATTTACAGTCTTTACATTTAGTAGCATTCCTCTGTCATTCATTCACCTTGTTTTTCACCTTGTTGCTAGGTGGTGCAACTAAGGCAGTTGACTACTGACTTGCAAGATAATTGCTACTAATGATTCAAGAATTTTGAAGATACATGTCTAAAGAGAAGTGAAACTTTCTGAATCAAGTGTTAACAGAAATTAAGACCCTAAGGCTACAGGCATTAACCTGTCAAGATAAGTGGTCTGTCCCCAAAAAGGCAAGCAAATAAAAAGCGTAATATTCCAGACAGTGAACCCAAAAAAGATTCTGCACAGACTTCTTCTTTCCTATCATGATTTGTGAACATAATATTTTGCAAAAAATTCAGTTTACAAAAACAAACAAACACCAGGGCAAAAAGAGCTTTGACTTGTCTTTGGCTCTCTTCAGCCTCAGCCATGCATTTAAGCAGGCCCAGGTTTTGAGGTGGTTTCAGCAGAAACAGTTGTCTGACCAAGAAGCCCTGCCTGGTGTTAACCAAATGGATTTCCACCTCCAACTGCAACGCTGCTGGAGGTTCAACCGCGGCACAGTCAGAGACAGAGCAATGCCAGTCTTTTAGTGGCTTGGACACAAAGTCCAGCGCCTCACCACAGACCCACCATCACTATGGATACCAGACTTTAATTTTAACAGCTGAGATTTGGGCACAGGAGCCTTTGTACTCTACTGAAGAGACACTAGAGGAGGAAAGGCACCTGGAGCAGGAACTTTTTTAACCACTGCAGAAAGATCTGTCAGCATTCATATGTCGCTGCCAACACAGAGCTCACTTGGAGGTCTCCACGCTGTTCTGATTCAACTTCTGTGGGACAAGCACATCTAAGCCAAACCCAAAGCATGGCGTTATAGGCATGCCTGCAGTACTTTCACACCTACAGTCTGAGTTACACATGGAGCATAAATAACACTGGTACCAAACACTTCTATGCAACCATGTCCTGTCTAGGAGTTATAACAACTTTACTCATTTAGTTGAAAAACTCAGAGAATTAGATAAGTACAGTTCAACTTAATAAACTGCTATGATGCCTTTTGTTTTTGGTTTTAATTCCTTTTTTTTGCATTCCAGTACCTGAACTCCCTGGCAAACACAATTTTATTTGACAAATGCTTATGCAGGTAGTGATGGAAGCTACCACAAGAGCTGAAATTTCTCTTCAGTCTTCTCAGCTGAGGCCTGCTGTACAGTGCAGGCTGTGGGAACATGGCCTAAGATTAATCAGGATCAGCAAAGCACTGTGCTGTTGTGGTAAGCCTTCATTAAGTCACAGTTCATTGACCACTAAAACATAAATATAAAATATTTAAAGACACGTGGTCGAAGCAAGTGAAGGAAAACAATTTTAAAGAGAACCACACCAGGTTTCAGGGCATCTGAACCATGAATGGTTCAAACTGAGGTAGGAGATAAATGGGGTATGGCCCTGTGCAGAACAAAGAAATGCTTAGAAAACCAGACTATAATGAGTTCATGTTACATACAAGAGTTTGTCAGAAAAGTTAATGCTATTGACAGTCCTTCCCTGTGCACAGTAACCACTTTGATTACAGTAAACTTCTCTGAAGAGGTCAGGCCACAATGACATAACTGCATAGCTTAAGAGATTTGAACACAGAATCAACGACAGAAATGCACTAATTTCATTTCAAAGTATGTACGCTCATAGTAAGGCTACTATTTCCCACTCTCCCCAAGTGCAACTGTCCAAGGAATACAAATTGTAATGAAAAAAACCAACCATCACTTACTCTGTTTTCCGCCTTTGCTTGTCTTCAAATACATCGTTCAGACTTATGGCCACTTGTCCCAAAAACCTGTCCAGCCCCACCAGCGACCTGTGCATGACAATCAGGTACAGGATGTATTTTTCTGGATTCTCCTGCATGAGTAGTCCAGGGAGCTCGAATGAGGCCTCTTCTTTCCAGATGGGATCCAGCGTCTTCTCGGCCACCGAGGTGGAGTACTTCTCCTTGCCCAGCTGTATGATGGTGTAGGCATCGTTGCTGCCATTTTTACCTTTTGGCTTCAGACCTTTGGCTTGAAGGACCGTAACTTGCACGTGAGTTGGGAACCACTTCTGGGCTTGCTCTGCCAACATCATCTTTGAAGATCGCAGCAGCAGCAGCAGCAATAACAAACGCAAAGTCTGTCAGTCCTCGAGTGACTGCGTAAGGGCACTTACGGCGGAGACACCTGTCAGGGGCTCGGCCGGTCCTTCCTCTAGCGCTCCTGGCCGCGGGAGGCCCTCACCAGCCCGCGGGTCCCCCCCTTCCCCGGCTGCCCCACCTGCGGCTCCATGGCCGGGGGCCGCAGGTCCCGCCGCAGCCCCGGCCCCACCGCCCTCCCGCGCCCGGCCTGGCCCTGCCCGCCGCTACCGCCGGCCCGGCCCCGCGCCGCCCCCAGGGCATCCCCCGGGCAGGGCCGCCCCGCCGCGGGGCCCCGCAGGCCGCCGGCGGCCTCCCCCTGCTCGTCCCGGCTCGCTGCCGGCGGCGGTTCGGTGCCGGCGGGGGGCTCGGTGCCCTCCCTGCCGCCGTCAGTCCGCCCGTCCCTGCCGCGGCCGCCTCAGCCTCTCGCCGCGCTGCCCCCCCGCCGCCGCCCGGCCTGACGGGCCGGCTCCGCCGCTTCCGCCTTCCCCATGCTGCGGGCGGCGGCGGGCAGAGGGCAGAGGGCAGGGTTCGCCCCCTCCCTCTCTTCCCTTCCCGTCCGCCGGGCGCCCGGGCAGCGCTGCCCAGCGCACCGAGCAGCCCCGCTGGCCGCGGGCAGGGCCGGACAGGCCGCGGCTCCCCGGGCGTGACGGAGCGCTGGGCTCCCGGGGCCACCTCCCGGCTGAGATCCCCGTCCCGTTAATTAATTCATCGCTATTTTTGTTTCTGGAGCGGGCAGAGAGATCTGCAGGAGCTGTGGAGAGGAGGGAACCTGGCTAAAGGCGTCTATTGTTGTTATTATTATTGAATATTAGAGACTCGGGGGTGGCCACGGAGCCAGCCGGGAGTGGTGCTGCTCTGGATCCCATCCTGCTGCAAACCGCTTCGGGAATTTCTTTATTTTTCAGCCCCATCCACCCGCCCTGGCAAATCCGTTGGATTTGAATGAGAGAGTGAAAATTGCAAAGTATAAGAATATTAATAAAAACAATACTATACGAGGTATTTTGAGGACACGTAATTTTGCTGGTAGTACGCCTAGAGACTTCAGGTATTTACATGCACATCCGTAAGCTGAGTCACAGGTATTAACGTCGTTTCTACAAATAAACAAACAAACAAACAAACAAATAAATAAAATTAGGGTTGTAAGGCTGTGTATCCCATCCCTGAAAACCATAAAAAGCAGGGATACCAGAAGCCAGGTTAGATAATGCTTCACCCACCACCCCTCACTCCTGAATCCCCGGTCCATGGCTCACAAGTTAGTGAGCAAAGAAACCTTGGGAGACCTTCTCATACAGCTGAGACCTATAGGAAATTAAAAAACTTAAAGCTGAAGGCCATTAGGGAGAGTAAAGCATGATGCTTCCCACAATACCTGATGTTGAGCAAGTTATCATCCAGGATCTGAAAAGGGGGGATCATCAGTCTACACAGTCATTAGCCTGAGTCCAGCTCATGTCATCTCATGACAATTTTACACAATTTTAATAAATATTTCATTGATGTTCAACTTTTGGCTGGCAGTGGTAGCTGTCTGCATGCTGTGATAGTTAACACAGAGCTGGCACTTCTTTCCTCTTCCACATTGTACCTGGGTTTTTCTTGACAGGAAAATAGATGGTCCAGTTGGAAACAGTAACTTCAATACATGTCCTGGGATCACATTTAGGCAAAAATGTGTAAATGGGTTTCTAGGATAGTAGTTTCTGAAAGTGTTACAAATGCTATGGTTGTCTGCCTCGGTTTGTGGTGCTGAGATAGTAATGATAAATTAAGGCTGCAGGTCATCATCCCCCTCACCTGAAAACCCCTTCCCCTTCTCTGCAGTTGTCATTCTTCCTCATCCTCGGGTATCTTTCCCAGATATTTCACAATGAAGCTCCCAGGAGAGGATGCTGTGCTTGGGGAAAGAGTCACAGTATTTAGGGCTGGAAGAGCCAGAAGGAATTATGGTGCCAGTGTTCTGTGGGAGACTTAGGCCATGGGGGAAAGCCACGGGGTTCTTCTTGGAAACCAGAGTGACTTATGTACATTAGAATATTTCTGAAATTAATTTTACCACATACAAATTCTGTTTTAGTAGAATAATCTCCATTGCACTAAATAGAAACCAAGCATGATGAACTCATCAAATCAAAACAAGAAATGAATTTTAGGTAGGCAGAATGTATTTATTTAATAGAAATTTAAGTCAAACATCATGTCTTGCATGCTGTGTCTTAGGAAAACTTTTATGAGTTTTTACAATAGGCAGGTTTTGTGCTTTTTCCTTGCCTTTTATTGGCATTCTATAATTTCTTATTATTGTCTCTTTCTAAACAGGAGCTGACTGGAATACATGCACACACAGCTGAACAGGGGAAAGTGGAAGAACTTTTGTACTGCTGCAGACCATATATCAATGCAATAGCCAATCTGCCTTTCCTGCTTTCAAAAATAAACAGATTATTAGTCCTCTACTCCTTATGTGCAATCTGGCATGTGAGGAGTGTGGAACCTTTCCCCTTTCTCATGTTTCCCCTCTCTGCTCAGCTGGTGGAGCAGGCACTGGGGAGATGCCCCCTCAACTCCTCCACTCCTGTGCTTGAAGAGAATTCTGCTCAAAGGTGTACCAGATATATTTTATTCCCTCTTACACCCCTCTAGGGTCAAGCTGAAAGCTGGCCTTTTGATTTTGTCCTCTTTGGAATAGGGTAATTGTCATCTTCTGGAATGTAACGTGGGATATAAATGACAAAATATCTCAGAGAAATAATGATATCTCCAGCAACAGAGTGTCCCCTGGCACTATGTTAGAGCATTAATCCAGAAATGACTCAGATTTTCATTCACTAAGCCACCACAACTGCTCAGTGCCTGTGTGCACTGTAGGTTTTGTTCATCACTGTCGATGATTTAGTGAATATTACATTAGAAAATCCATTTTGTTTCCTGTGCACCATTTTGGTTACAGGACTGTACCATTCCTTTAGTGCACCAGAGATATCCACTGTTATTCTGTAATAATAATCTTTTAAATTCACTGTTACTGCTGTATCATGTTTTCTGTCCAAGTCCACTCACTCAGAGGATGTCTCATCAAGAATTTTCTAGTCCTTAGTTTCTTTTAGAGGATTTTAAGCTCAAAACATTATATTTGAAGCTTGCAGTCAAATGTAGCTCCTTTGTATGCTACACTGTGGTAAAAAGGATTTCTCCCTGTAGGTAGCTCCTGCAGTGTTCTGTGCCGTGCCCCTTTTCCCTGTTCTACCACTACCTGTGTAGCATTGGAGGAAGCTGAGAAAAGCAAGCACAGAATTTTTGCTGATGAAGAAAAAGCCATCAAAGCTGGAATATGTGGCGTCAGAAAATTATTTCTGCATTTCTAATTGCAGATGAGAGCAAGTTTAAAAAACAATTGTTAATCACAAACAACAGTGGATATCTGGTACATTTAATACAGAACCCTAAAGCTCATGTGTGCCATCTATCTCCATTACACGTTCTTCCAGTCGTTTCTGACCCAGGAGATCAACACTGTTTTTTTTAAAGAGAGAATTCCATGAACTATGGTGGTTTTTTTTCAATTTCAGTAATTTGTAATTCCCTCTCATTTCTCCCTCCTTAGCCTGCAGTATATCTGATTAAACATAAGCCTTGATATTCTGGCTGCCCTTTCAAAAGAAAATGCGGGAAAATCTTTTTGCCTGTGCCACTGAGACAGTTCCTCGTTCTGTTTCTCATTTCCAGTTGTGTACTTGCTAAAGAGGGTCAGAGCAGTTGTGTTTACACTGGTAAACTGTAGCAGGTAATTTGGTGATTTAATTTCTCCCTGATTTCTGTTTATGAAGAAAGAAACATTTTGTTATATTTTTATGAAAATGCTATCTCCTCTTTGAAATTATTTGCTGAATAATTCTTAGTTGGAAGATTGCAGGCGATGTGTTTGCTTTGAACGTTACATTGCTGTGAGGAACAGGCTGGTTTTGTCTTGACATGTGACAAGCTTCTGCTTTCTGCCTTGCTGAATAACTTTCAGTAGCTATTGCAACTGTCCAGACTGTTTTCTGGAAAGACTGTGCAATTTTTGAGACTGAACATTGCTGCCTGTTAGCTTTATCTTAGCTGTCATTATTTTTTCAATTAATGACTTCTTCAGGAATTCACTAGAATTAATTGACTGCAGAAATCAAATAGCTGGGCTTATACTACTGTCAATGGAAGGTTTTTCACAAGCTACTGGTTTTGTCTGCTCTCTTGGTTTGAGAAGAACTCATTATGCTGGAAGTATTTTGATGTAATTATTAAAAGCTAGAAGAATATCAATGAAATTTCTGTTCTGACCCCAAATTTTGCAACCCAAAATGTTCAAGGTTTGCCGAGGCTGGGTCAGTTGGCCACTGTCCTGCTCTGCATGCTTTCTTTTACCTTTCACTTTCACTCTTATGGAACATCTGCTCAGAAGGAGGAGACCTTTGGCCTCAACACTAGAGCTGAATTTTCTCTGGTAGGTTTTGAAAGCCCTACAGACACATTTCTTCTGTGCCATGCTGTTCTCTCTGTCCAGCTTTGGGTTTATCTGCTTGGGATGCAATTTGTGTCAGCCTTGCCTTGCTCTTCACCTGTCTTTCTTGCATTACTGCAAGGAATGGGATCATACAAGAAACAGCAAAGGAAATGTGTCTCTGAAAAGGGGGGTGGGGGCTTGAAATCAGGCAAATGCCATAGAAGTGTCCATTGTTCTGATAGAAATCCAGTACTTTCAACCAGGAACCTGGAGTCACAGATATGGAAGTCTTGTGTGCAATATCAGACTTCAAATAAATGCCAGGTACCACTAAGAGTGTTGGAAGCATCATCTTTTTTGTTCATTTTTAGCTGAACTTGTTTCACAGCCTTTCAACACTCTCATCCATTGTAAAGTTCAAAGAGGCTTAAATGTTGTAAAACAGTCATCAAATACTATAATTAAACTTGCCAGTCACCCAGATTTGACCCAAACTGCCTGTGTCTCAAGATGTTAGTCAGCTGTCTGGGTTGGATTTTAGTTCAGCCTTTTAAAAACATGAAAACACCTCATTCTCAGCAGCTTCTGCACAAACTATTGTGCTCTTCTGTCAAAGCCTTCCTGTCATGCAAACTCCTTCAGCACTTCCAACCTGA